CATGATTTGGGCGAAACGCGTTTTGCTACTTTTTTGGACCTTACAAAGAACTTACCTACCTTATTATAGTTCAGTGTAAAGTTCTTATCTTCTTTCATTTTATATTTTTACATATTTGTATTTTATTATTTACCATTAAAAGAAATTAGTCCCCAATATCCCATTGGTGTGGACATTTCTTTTATTACTATTGGAAGATCACCTGTATCCTGAAAGGGAGTGGGATCCCTTCTAACCATCCCACAGGCACTCTGACTGAGCCATTATCTATTGGCTCCTCCTTTGTGAGTACTGGATTATACACTTTATGTTTACAAATATTATATTGTACAGTATTGCACTAGGTGCTTGTATATTATTTTATCTCCACAGTTACTCCGTTTGCCTGTATATTACCATCTTTTACCCCGAACTGCATCATTCCACCCATTGTATGTATATGATTTAGAGTCTGTATTATGGCAACTTACATTGCCATAATACAGACAAGGACCGCCGGGCTCATTACAAGCCAGGCGGTCCTGTTGGGGGCTGGCAGAGAGCTGTTACTTACCTTTCCTGCAGCTCCTGTCAGCTCCCTTCTCTCTCCTCCGTTCCGGTCAGCAACCTTCTCCTCCACTGTAAGTCTCGCGAGAGCCGCGGGGTCAGAGCGTTGCCATGGGTTACCGTGGCAACGCTCCACGCGGCAGTCAGACTTACAGTGGAGGAGAAGGGAGCTGATAGGAGCTGCTGTAAAGGTAAGTAACAGCTCTTTGCCAGCCCCCCTCCTATACAGCCCATGCTACTGGACCACCAGGTAATGAGAGCCCCCCTCCCTGGCCATGTGTCAAGCAGGGAGGGGGGACGAAAAAATATAAATAAAAATTTAAATAATATATCAAAATATTAATAATATATCAAAATAATAATAATAATTAAAAGAATAATAATGCCCACCCCCCACCAAGGCTGTGCATCACACACACTGCACTCATACACACACACACACTGCACTCATATACACACACACACTGCATTCATACACACACTGCATTATATACACACACTGTAAATAAATATTCAATTAATATAACTTTTTTGGGATCTAATTTTATTTAGAAATTTACCAGTAGCTGCTGCATTTCCCAGCCTAGTCTTATACTCGAGTCAATAAGTTTTCCCAGTTTTTTGGGGTAAAATTAGGGGTCTCGACTTATATTCGGATCGACTTATACTCGAGTATATACGGTATATAGAATTTTGTTTTGAATATATAGAGGAATGCAATTATACTAGGGAGTGTGTTAGATTGAGCCAGACTGAATAAAGCTCATTTTGCGTAACACAGTAACCCAGTATTACTCATCCTAATATCTATATACTTTTATATATAGGAGCTATTTTTAGTAATCACACATTATTATTTTCTTCTTTATTCAGACTACTATTTTGTCTTTATTATGTTGCTATTGCAAATTATTTATGAGTGATATTCTACTCACCTATACTTTAGATATAGACACTTTGTATCTATTAGGCTTCTTTACTCTCCAGGAGATACAGTGAGTCACGTACACCTTTTTTGGCTGTGACCATTTGCTTCGCTTGTTGAACCAAGCGCCTCTATTTTTTGTGTGAAGAGTGTGACTTTTTTGTTTTTCATTTTAATACAAGTGCAGATTCCAATAGAAATTGGCACTTTTATAAATTGACCTTGTTACCACCCCCCTAGCTGTCAGACAACAAGATCATGTAACTTCCTAGTTTGTTCTGCTCAGTGAAGCTAAACTCAAGATGCAGCAATAGCTCAGAGCACCTGTCTTGCAAGACTTCTCATTGAGTTTCATTGGGAAGTCCGTGATTGGACAGCCACAAAAAGTCTGGGCGGGTTAGAAGGGGTGGACTTGCAAAGACTCAAGACTAGACATCTGCAGCTTTCGCTAACTGTTTTTAGATATACCCCCAGGGAAAAAATGCATAATTTATTATTATTATTATGATATTTATAGAGCGCTGTCAAATTCCGCAGCGCTTTACAATGGGTGGACAAACAGACATGTAGTTGTAACAATACAAGTTGGACACACAGGAACAGAGGGGTTGAGGGCCCTGCTCAATGAGCTTACATGCTAGAGGGAGTGGGGTAAAATGACACAAAAAAAGGTAAGGATAGTATTAGACTAGTGACAGTTGCAGAAGAGGAATCAGTCAGGAGCTAGTAACAGTTTAATTGATACGCTTTTATGAAGAAGTGGGTTTGTAATGATTTTTTGAAGGAGTGGAGACTGGGTGTGCATCTAACGGAGGAGGGATGCGAGTTCCACAGGAACGGTGCAGCCCTCGAAAAATCTTGAAGGCGTGCATCAGAGGTGGGAGTACGGACAGAAGATAGACGTAAGTCTCCAGCAGATCGTAAGGGCCTAGACGGGACATACTTGTGTATAAGGGAGGATAGATAGGTGGGAGCAGCATTATTTAGTGATTTGAAAGCAAGAACCAGAATTTTAAATGGAGCTCTATATTTTATAGGAAGCCAATGTAGGGACTGACAGAAGGGTGAAGCATGGGAGGTGCGGGCGGACAGGAAGATGAGCCTCGCCGCCGCATTCATTATGGACTGTAACGGCGCTAGCTGGGAGCACGTAAGACCACTGAGAAGCGGATTACAGTAGTCAAGGTGAGAGAGGACAGTGGAATGGACCAACACCTTAGTCGCATCTGGCGTTAAGTAGTGGCGGATGCGCGCAATGTTTTTGAGATGGAAATGACAGGATTTGGTGATTGAACATGAGGCTTGAAGGAGAGGTTGGAGTCAAAGAGAACACCTAGGCAGCGAGCCTGCGTGGTGCAACAGATGGTAGCACTGTTGACTTGGAGGGAGACAGACACAGGAGTAACAACACTTGAGGGAGGAAAGACCAGCATTTCAGTTTTGGTCAAGTTTAGTTTAAGGAAGTGGGCAGCCATCCAGTTAGAGACAGCAGAGAGGCAGTCAGAGACACTAGTCAAGAGGGACAGGGAGAGATCAGGAGAGGACAGATAGATTTGCGTGTCATCTGCATAGAAATGATATTGGAAGCCAAAGGAGCTAATGAGTTTACCAAGGGAGGCAGTATAGATGGAGAACAGTAGGGGACCAAGGACTGAACCTTGGGGGACACCAACAGAGAGGAGTTGGGGAGAAGAAGCAGAGCCAGAGAAAAAAACACTGAAAGAGCGCTGGGAGAGGTAGGAGGAGCACCAGGAGAGAGCAATATCTTGTAGACCGATATTGCGGAGGATGAGAAGAAGCTGTTGATGATCAACAATGTCAAAAGCCGCAGACAGGTCAAGGAGAATTAGGATAGAGTAGTGACCACGAGATTTTACAGCGAGTAGATCATTGGATACTTTGGTCAGTGCCGTTTCCACAGAGTGCTTAGCGCGGAAACCAGACTGAAGCAGGTCTAGCAGAGAGTTGGACTTGAGGAAATCTGTAAATCTTGCATACACAATTTTTTCAAGGATCTTGGATGCAAAAGGCAGTAGCGAGATAGGACGATAGTTGGATGGGGAGTTAGAGTCAAGATTGGGCTTCTTTAGAATTGGGGTTACAGTTGCATGTTTGAAGGGCAATGGAAATATACCAGAGGAGAGAGAGAGATTGAGAATTTTAGTGAGAGGTGGAAAAAGAGAAGAAGACAGAGTACGGATGAGATGCGAGGGAATTGGATCTAGGGAGCAGGTGGTGGGGCGGGAGGACTGGAGCAGAGCAGAAACCTCTTCCAATGTAGCGGGTGCAAATAAACATAGAACAGCAGAGGGAGTGAAGTTAGGGGAAGTATTGTAAGAGGAAGAAGAAAGATGAGATATCTCTTCTCTGATTGTAGAGATCTTGTCAGTGAAGTGAGTTGCAAAGTCTGAGGCTTTGTAGGTGGAGGAGGAACAGCAGGGCGAAGAAGAGAGTTAAATGTGTGAAATAGTCGTTTGGGTTCGTGGGAGAGTGTGGTTATGAGGGTATTGAAGTACTTAACTTTTGCAGAGGAAAGAGCCAAGCTGTATGAGCTCAGCATAAATTTATAGTGGAGAAAGTCAGACACACAGTGAGACTTTCTCCAACAGCGTTCAGCAGTTCTTGAGCATTTTTGGAGGTATCGAGTGAGCTTGGTGTGCCAGGGTTGTTGTTGGGGGGGGCCTGCGGCATTTAAATGTACAAGGTGCCATGATGTCTAGTTGAGAGGAGAGGGTGGAATTGTAGAAGGAGGTTGCAGAACTAGGACAGGTGAGGTTTGAGATAGGTAAAAGGAGAGTTTGGAGATTAGTGGAGAAATGCTCTAGGTCAAGACATTGGAGGTTTCTGTGACAGTGATGTTCAGACAGTGGTGTCAATTGGGTCTTAGGTATGCCAATGTCAAAAGTCAGCAGATGGTGGTCAGATAGAGGAAAATGAATATTGGAGAAATTAGAGGCAGTACGGAAGTTGGTGAAGGCAAGATCAAGAGTGTTTCCTGCTGTATGGGTTGCTAGATTGGACCACTGCGTAAGACCAAAGGAGGTGGTTACAGAGAGCAGACGAGAGGCATCAGTGCAATTGGGTTTATTGATTGGGATATTGAAATCCCCAAGTATGCATGTTTTCAATGGTAATTTATTGTATTTTCTAATTAGGCAATGGTGTGTCCTTTTAAATTTTGTTCCCAGTTTCTCTCATTATGGTTTATGGTCATAGGGTTTGTGGGTTTGTTTTTTTTTGTATTTTGTTTCTGATTGTATATTCTTCCACCTGTTTATATAAACATAATAATACAACAGTTCTGAAAATGTTCTTATTCTGTAATTGTTAGATTACCAGTGCTGCACCTCTGGATCTGTCCCATCCTACACTTCTCTATGCAGATGTAGGTATTGGAGTGAATACAATCAGCAATTGTTTCACATATAGTACATAGATCTGTTCTATCTCATATAACACGCATTATACAAGTAGGTGATTAAAACTTAGGCAATTACATTTGTTACACACTGAAATCTATATAAATTACCTTCTTCACCCCAAGTACCCACATAAGTGTAGCACATGTCTTCTTTCCCCTTGCACACTATATCAGTTTCTGGAACACATTCCTCATTGTAGTTGTATTTAAAGCAGGTCGGACAAGTTTTTCCTTCAAATGTTTCACTCTCCTCTGGAACTGTGAGTAAGAAGAAATTATAAAATACAATTCTTTATATCGCCCTTACAAACTGCAAAGTAGCTACTAGCAAGGAAGCTTTGTTCTTTATATTTTCTGACAGATGTTTGTGTATCCATAATTATGCCCAGAACATAAAACTACTGTGAGAATATTCTGCCTCGCTCTTTAAGACAAATTAAAAGTGGTGTAAACAGAATCCAGAATATAGAATAGTGTTCTGGTGCAAAATGAATACGTACACAAAAAGTAAAACAAAAGAAAACAGTTGTACAGGTAATAAATCGTGTAAAAGACTGGCAGAACTGATAAGTGATTCTCAACACAATGCTGCTCCCACCTACTTATCCTCACTTATACACAAATACGCCCCATCTAGACCCTACACTCTGCTGGAGACCTACGTCTAACCTCTGTTTGTACTCCTACCTCTGATGCTCACCTTAAAGACTTCTCTAGGGCTGCACCGTTCCTATGAAACGCCCTTCCCATCTCTGTTAGACTTTCACCCAATCTCCACTCCTTCAAAAAAATCTTTGAAAACTTACTTCTTTAGGAAAGCATATCAATTAAACTGTGAACAGCTTTCCCTCCCCACACCTTGATTCCTCTCCTGCAACTGCCATCAAAACAAAACACTAAGCCCTCAATAAATACTATCCTCGCAACCTACTTTTCTACCCTACCCTTAACTTTTGTGTCACTATACCCCACTCCCTCTAGCATGTGCGTCGAACTTGTCTGGTTACAAATACGTGTGTGTTAGTCCACCCATTGTACAGTGCTACAGAACTTGTTGGTGCTTTATAAGTAATACTAAATAATAGAAACAATTTCCTGAAAAGGTGCAGAGGCACTTTGATAATTATCCCCATTGCTTTTGTGTTTCCTGATCCAATGCAATTTGTGTCCTGTCCAGGGTCGGATTTACATGTCAGGGCTCCCTGTGCTCCCCAACCCAAAAAAAGGATTATACATAAGTGTAATGAATGCATTAACTGGATATTGCAGGCCTAAAAACATGTAAAAAATAAACATATTCATATTTGGCAACTGCATAGGTATATATATGTAGGTGCATATTTTTACTTGTAATGTATTGTGTTTGAACTTGTAAATATAGTGAGTGTGTGTAGCAGTGTAAATGCATGCAGGGTTACAGATAATGCTAGAAGTGCTTAGGGTAAAGTAGGGGGTAAAGGTTTGATAGGAGTTAACATATAGTGATATTAAATCGGGCGTTTAGTATTAATAAATTTAACAGCTTGAGCGTGGTTAAAGTTGTAGTATAAGGGTTGTTTAAGATTATTGAGTTTAGGGCTAGAGTGTGTTTAAATATAGTATTGAGGTACAGGAGTTGTTTAGTTTTTAAGATATGTTAAACCTAGGATTAAAGGGACACTGTAGTCGCGAAAGCAATTTTAGCTTAAGGAAGCAGTTTTAGTGTATAGATCATGATCCTGCAGTTTCACTGCTCAATTCTCTGCAATTTGGGAGTTACATCACTTTTGTTTCTGTCTATGCAGCCCTAGTCACACCTCCCCTGGCTTTGACTCACACACCATGCATGAAAAAAAAAAAAAGTTTCACTTTTAATTAGATGTAACTTACATTAAAAGTTCTTATTGCCTGCTCTCTAAAGTGAACTTTAATCATACACAGAATGCTTCTGGGGGGTCTAGCAAGCTATCAACAGTGCAGGGGATAATACATTTTAAATTAAATAGAATTTGCAATGAAGGAAGTATAAACATTAGATGACTCTTTACAGGAAGTGTTTAGGAAGGCTGTGTGAGTCACATGCAGGGAGGTGTGACTAGGGTGCATAAATAAAGTTATTTAACTCCTAAATGGCAGAGAATTGATCTACACACCAAAACTGCTTCAATAAGCTAAAGTTGTTTTGGTGACTATAGTGTCCCTTTAAGATAAAGGGTTTTGTTTTATTTTTAGGTTTTTAGTGCTGCAGTTAGAATGGTTATTTGCAAAGTACATACTCTGGCTTTTGTAGACCTGTAGATCTCCTAAGATTGACGCTAGAGCTACAGGAGTGGTTATACAGTGTGTAAGGCTCACTGCTGTCCTATCATATACAGTGTGCATCACCAAGAGCTTCACCTGCTGCTCCTGCAAGGCATTTCCTTTGTGAAAAGATACTAGTGGGTAGATGGGAAGTGGTCCCTTCCTCTTCCTGTCCAGCCTCAAACAGAGACACTGTAGGAGCCTCGACAGCACTAAGTTTTACGCCCTCTAAAACAGTTTCTGCAGATCTGCAATTAATGGACTACAAAGGACACTGGCCAAGGCTCCTGATGCTTATCTCTCCCCACCAGCCTATTCATTCTCAAAAAGACACATTAATATTTATGTGCTGAAAGCCGGTGCCAGAACTTGGATTGTGATGTGCCAATTGTTGTAACAGAGCATCTCATAAAAAAAAGTGGGGGGGATTTAGAATTTTTTTAAGGGTTCCCTCGAAGGCACGATAGGGATACGTACTTAGCAATATATAACTAGTATGCTACCTTGTATCTAGATGTCTCTCACTCTAGTTCCTTGTTAGATACATGTCCGGCAGTTATTTTGTATCCTTTTCCTCTCCTCCGTTATTATCATAGCCAGGCAGGAAGGGAGTCTTCAGTATCTTTTTTTTTTTCAACTGGAATTTTATTGAGGTTTTATATACATGGGGTACAAAAAGGAAAAGGGGGGGAAACCTACAAATAGCAGTATTTACATATTCACAGGTTCACAGAGATACATATTCACATATATACACATTCATATTTATAGGGTATACATATCATACGCTGTGGTTTTGATCCTTCGGAGAGATTATCAGTTACAGTGAGAATATTACTTACAGGTTGTTAGCAGATTGTCACTAATTGTCATTAAATGTCGGTCGTCATTGTACGTTACTCATCATACTTTTCCAAGTACCAATATTTTATCAGGTAGCAGTTAGGTAGCAACAGACAGTGAGTATTTGTATACATTTACCATTGATGGGAAGCCAACGTCCCTTTGGTGGGTGGATGAGCCACCTTCTAGTGAGTTACCGTGTCTGTGTGTTGTGTAGATATTATCCCATGGTGTGTTGTATTTCTTAGTAACAATGTTCACCTAGTGCATTGTCGATAGTCTGTGTATGCCCTTATTACTCACTTTAATGATTAATTATCGACGGTTATGTGCCTAACGATACATTAATATACTTAGCAATGTTCTACCAAAGTAGATAAGACACTATGAGGACCCTAGCTTCTGATGTGCGTCTTTCGCTCAAGTTACAAGAAACTATTCATATCCTAGGAACATTTCCATGTAAACGCTATTGATTAACCTATGATAGTACATGTTAACAGTGGAAGTCTGTTACTTCGTCCCCCAATTGTTTTGTATCTAATTGCGAGATAGGGCATTGCCGGTCTCAGACCCCAGATTTAGTTCTTTAATAGTGATATCACCACTAGATGCTTATCAGCATTGGGTAATGTGTTGGGGAGTAGTAGAAATAGGCTCAATTGGGGGCTGAGAGGGGGGAGTGTGATACTCAATTGCTCCCATACCTTCTGCGTTTCTACCCATAGTGGTTTTATATCTGGGCACTCCCACAATATGTGGGTCATCGTACCCCTATGGGTGCTGCATCTCCAACAAACAGGGGTGGTCTGGGGGTATATTTTGTGGAGTCTATCAGGTGTGTAGTACCACCTGTAGATGAGTTTTCTATGAGCTTCGACATGTGAATAACAGGTCGTGAAACCTTTCAGAGCTTGAAGTGATGTTAGCCATTGTTTGTCAGTTGGAGATTGTACACATTCTTTTGCCCACTGTGTGCGATATTTGTGTTCAGGTTGTGGTGTTTGGTATCTCAATGTAGCATAACACAGCGACAGAGTTTTGTTCTTAACTGGGGAGTTATAGCATCTATTATATAAGAGTAAAAGATGTCGATCAGAAATGCAGGAAGTCACTGGAGTGAGGGCTACCCTGGTAGAGACCAAACTTTTCAGTTGAATGTAAGGAAAGATAAATGAGGAAGGGAGGTGGTATGTCTTTTGTAGGTCTGGGAACGGTTGTATATTGCCCTGATTGCAAATATCAGTGATACGGGTAATCCCTAGTTCTTTCCATTTGTTTAAGGACAGCCATGGAGATAGTGAGGCAAGTGCCGTAATAGGTGCCCAGGGAGAAAATTTTGTAGTATTAACCTGAGAGCGATGGAGGTGGTCCCAAGCTAGTACTGAGTGTCTAGTGGGTGGTAGCAATTGCTGGTGTTTGTATCGAAAGTGTTTAGGTGTCCACATGTAGTCCAATGCTGAGGTTTTGGGATCATATTGGTTTTCAGGTCCACCCATTGTAGCGTGTGTTTTGGGGCATGCAGTTTCACAGCGTTTTCTAAGAGGGCTGCTTTTTGGTAAGACGCAATGTTGGGGAATCCCAAGCCTCCTTCCATAGTGGGGGATTGTAAAAGATTTAAAGGTAGTCTGGGCTTCTTTTTGTCTCATATGTAGGTGGTGAGTAAGGTTTGGATTTGTTTGTGTATCGTAGGCGAAAGGGGTATTGGTAACATTCTAAATATATACAGTAGTTTTGGTAGTACCATCATTTTAACTGCATTAATTCTGCCTAGCCAGGAAATCATGACGTCTTTCCATTTGTGCAGTATTTGTTTACACATTTGTGGGAGGGTTGAGAAGTTGCATGTGCTGATCCCCCTATATGTGCCTGTTATCTTAACTCCTAGGTACGTGAGGTGCGTTTGTCGCCAATCGAATAGGTATTTGCCTTTCAGTACTGTAAGTTTGGTTGAGCTTGTAGGTTGAGCTTGTAGTACGAGACCTTACTGTATTCTTCCAGGGATTGCATAATGTGCGGTAGGGTAAGGTTTGGGTGTGTCATAGAAATGAGGATGTCGTCTGCGAACATCAATAGTTTGTATTCAGTGTTATGGATGGTGATGCCTTTAATGTTTTCGTGGGTCCGAATTTTATATGCCAAGGGTTCTAGGGATAATACAAATAATAGGGGGGAAAGCGGCAACCTTGGCGTGTGCCATTGGTTATTGAAAAAGAGTTGGTGTGTGACTCTGGCTGATGGCGCACAGTAAAGTGCTTTAATGCCTGTGGTAAATGTGGTAGGGAATCCGAACTTGGTGAGGACCTGGTTCATGTAGTCCCAATTGAGTCTATCGAAGGCCTTCTCGGCATCCAGTGCCAGGAGAAGGCCTCCCATATTCTTCGTTTCCATATGTGCTAGGATGTCGAGAATTTTCCTTGTGTTGTCGGAACCTTGTCTGTTTTTAACAAAGCCTGATCGTTGTGCACGATTCGTGTTAAGATGTGTTTGAGACGGTCGGCTAATATCTTAGCATATATGTTCGTGTCACAATTGAGTAATGATATGGGTCTGAAATTCTGACAGATTGTCGCTGATTTCCCTGGTTTTGGAAGTGTGGAAATGTGCGCTTGGAGCATCTCTGGTACTATTGTGCCTGTGTTAAAGCAATGGTTGAAGAGCTCCATCAGGTGTGGCGCTAAAACGTCAGAAAAGGTTTGGTAATAAAGGTTAGTAAACCCGTCTGGTCCTGGTGATTTATGGGGGGGTAACCGCGCAATTGTATCGTTCAATTCTTCTATTGTAAATGGTTTGGTGATTGTGTCTATTTCCTCTTGAGTAAGGGTTGGGAGGCTGACCGTATCAAGGAAGTCTTTAATTTGTGCTGTGGACGGTGTGGGTGTGTTTACGTCTGTATTGAGATTATAGAGAGAGCTATAGAACTTTGCGAATGATTCTACTATATCTTGCGGATTCATAATCTTAGATTTATCGGGATTTAATAGGTATGCTACTCTGGAGTTGGCTGTTCGTGCCTTTAGTTTGGATGCTAAAAGTGAACCAGCCTTGTTCCCTTGAGCGAAAAATTTATGTTTATATCTCTGTAATAGATAATTTGTTTTGTCTAATTCAAGTGTCCGTAATTGGTTCTGCAAGTGTTGTAGTTTAGCATAATGGTCTGGTAACGGGTTTATCTTATTAGTATGTGTAAGGGATTTTATCTGTCGTAGGAGATCATTATGTTCAGTTTGTCATTTCTTTTTGGCATAGCTAGCGTGTTTGATAAGGAGGCCTCTAATCACAGCTTTATGAGCTTGCCACAGCGTGGGGATAGAGATGTCGTCTGTGGTGTTGGTCTGGAAGTAAGTTTCCAGTTCCTTTTTAATTTGTGGTATGATATCGGGGTTTTTCAGGAGCGATTCGTTCAGTCGCCAAGATCCTTTACCTCGGTTTGGGTATTGAGTCGAAATTGTTAGCACGTGGTCTGACCATGTTATAAGACCTATCCTTGTGGATAGAACTCTGGGTATTAGTGAAGCATGAAGTAGGAATCTATCTATTCTGGAATACGAGTTATGTGCTTGTGAGTGGAAAGAGAAATCTCTTTCTGAGGGGTGGAGTACCCTCAATATGTCCACATACCCTGAATCATGTATTAGTTTCCTGATAGTACAGGAGGAACCTGCAGGGCTGAAGATGAGTCTAAGTGACTGTCAAGAATAAAATTTGTGTCTCCCCCTATGATCAAAGTCCCAAAGTTGGTGGTGTCTGCCATCGATAGAAGTTTGGTAAGGTAGGTTGTTTGATTGTCGTGTGGGCCATAGACGTTTATGAGTGTATAGGGTTCATTGTCAAGGAAGCATTGGGTGAGAAGGTATCTGCCCTCTTTGTCCCCTGTTTTTTTGTGTACGGAAAAAGCTATGTCCTTGTTAAATAAGATTGAGAACCCTCTTTTTTTTTTGGTATAACCAGTGTGGTAGCCTATGGGGTATTGTTTTGATGAGAATTTGGGCATGTTGGAGTTTAGGAAATGAGTTTCCTGAAGGAAGGCTATGGAGGCTTTTACCTTTTTTGCTTCCTCCAAGGCTAGTCTCCTTTTGTGGGGAGAATTTAACCCTTTAGTATTTAGGGATAGTATTGTTAATGCCATTTGGGTGTTTGGGCGTCGCGGTTGCAAATGTATAGTAATGTGGCTGCAATATATCGTGTATGGTATGGAATCATATCTAGGCAATGTTCGTTTCGATAGCATGATGTCCACCACTTCGGTGAAACATTTTCTTTTGCGCGTAATCGCTGTTTGGTTGTGAGAATGTGTCTGCATAGTGAGTCGTTTTTTCTAACGACTTCGTCCCTGTGTTCTGTTGTAGCACACATAGTATTTGTAGGTGGGGGGTGAACTGGGAATAGGGAAAGGGTAGGGGTAAAGATATGTATCTTAACTATATACATGAGCAGGGTTAGGCCGAGGCCGTCTACCCAGAGTGAACATTTTAGTGGCCCCAGTGAGCCGACATGGGGGGAGGGTGAGATTCGTGATATAAACAACTACAGTTTAGTTGGGAGATCCATCCGAGGGTTACCCGGTATGCCTAAAGCAGGAGTATGATGTTTGATACAATCACTATTATGTGCTTGTAGGGTGATAGGATTACATAACATACCAATCTTATACGCTAGGTATTCACGTGACCATGTAACACAGTGTCCTAAGCTATATACATAATAAAAGGAACAATAGAATATGTAAATATATCATGCTCACGTATTCACACAGCACGAAATCCCAGCAGGCTGAGTAAAATAGTCAGAGAATTGTTACCAGTCCCGGATTATTTACGTGAGAGTTTCATAGACCACAATTTATCAATTTTTGTGGGTGACTTGTTGGAGTTCCGCAACTGCAGCTCTTCCCCTGGCAGGTGAACTTGCACATTCCAATCTCCAAGTAATTTGGCGCCGTCCGTAACCATGTGTATTTGGTGTTCAGTGCCGTTTTTTCTTATGATCAGACGTGTAGGGTAACCCCATTTGTAGAGGATTTCGTTATCTCGAAGTGCTTTGGTTATTGGTGCTAGGTCTTTCCATTTAGCCAATGTCACTGCAGATAGATCTGTGAAGAGTTTGATGTGTTGGAATTCTGCAGGGATGTTATCTGGGTTCCTTGCTGCTCTCATTACCGTTTCTTTAGACGTAAAATAATGCATTCTAGTGATCACGTCCCTAGCCGCAGTATTCGCTAAAAATTTGGGGCGCGGTAGGCGATGAATGCGATCTAATTGGAGCTCTTCTATTGATAGCCCTGGGCTTAGGGCTTTGAATAGGCCTACCGCATAGTCATGAAGTTCTGAAGGTTTGATCTCCTCGGGCACTCCTCGTATTCTGACATTATTACGTCTGTCACGGTCTTCTTGGTCTGCAATTTTGGATTCCAGGTAAGTCACCTGGGTTTCTATGTTCTCACAAGCTGATGCCAGATCATTGTGAGCTCCTATGAGTTCCTCTGTTTTATCCTCCAAGGAGGAAGTGCGTTCACTTATTTCTTTGATGTCCGCCCGAACATCGTGGGCTAATTTGGCAAATTCTGCCTGCAGGGTAAGTTGAAGGTTTCGAAGCATACACTGTAGGGCATGCTCCGATGCAGGTGCTGTGTTGCCCGCTGATATTGAAGTGCTATCACTCCTATCTGAGCTCGCAGTAGGCGAGTTTGGGCCTTCAGCGCCATCTTGTAGGTTAGTGCTTGGCGGCGCGAGTGAGGAAATCTGGGTCGTTGCGGGTCGTACTCTCGCTTTTTTTGGGGCTCTTTGTGCCATGATGAGGTAGGATCTCCACCGGGTCAAAGTAGTGTGTTTCGTCGTAGTTATTGCTATTATAATCGCAGTTTGGCGTTCACCCTCACGGGAGCTGACAGTTCACGCGTCCGTCTTTGCGCACTGCCAGGCCACGCCCCCTTCAGTATCTTTTAAGGAGTGCCCTCAAAGGCACGATAGGGATACCTAATTAGGAATTAGTGATGTCCCGAACGGTTCGCCGCGGACTCCAGTCAGCAGACACATTCCAGCCAATCAGCAGCAGACCCTCCCTCCCAGACCCTCCCACCTCCTGGACAGCTCACTAAGAATGCAGCTTCAAAATGGATGCTGTCCAGGAGGTGGAAGGGTCAGGGAGGGAGGGTCTGCTGCTGATTGGCTGGAATGTGTCTGCTGACTGGAGTCCGCGGCGAACCGTTTGGCGAACCGTTCGGGACATCACTATTAGGAATATATTACTAATTATGCCACCTTGTATCTAGATGTCTTTATTTTTTTCCCAGTTAGACACATATTTGGCAGTTACATTGTTTCATGTATCTTTAACACAATATCTAAACTTTTCACCTTTCACTATGATTGCAGTCTTGCTGACTGGACAATAGCTCAATAGATGTTTCTATTTTTAACTTGAGATATCTAGTTCTTCTAATTATCTATAGAAGATTACATGTCTATCTATCTAGAATCATCTATACTACCTAGGAGCTGAAGTATGGTGACTGCAAGATTGTGGCACTGAATGGGAAGAGGGGGGCAAAAGGGGAAGTATATACTTTATTGGTTCTGCCTCCACCTTGCCCATCTACACACAATTAAACATGTTATCTTGTAGGTTCATAAATTGATTGTATAAGCATATAATAGATATAACAATGTTTGAAAGTAACTGTTTAAAATAAAATTAAGGACACTCACTTTCATAATTAAAGGTGTTGCAGTTGTCCCCATCACAGCATTTAATATTTGTTGTAAATGTAGAAGAATTAGCACCACCAATATCGATATGACCCACATAGTCACAGGGCATGTTTTCAGTAACACATCCCTTGATAATAGAACGGGTAATTACACCAGCTGCAAGAATAAAGCAGTCAATGCCCATATTTATTTCAGAAAATATAAAAATTATTCACAGCATTAATTGCAAGAGAAAACAGCTCTGTTACAATTTCCACATGCATTTAATATATTTGTGTTTAGTATGCATTATTTAAACAACATTGCATTACAAATAAAATTATTTTTAGATATTGTGTTATAAATTTCTAAAGCATCTGAAATGCAACACTTTTCTGGGATAAATTGTATCTCTCTGAACATTTCTGGCTCTTTCCAAGGTGCCTACCTCTTAACCTTTCTCTGTTGGGGGTACCTTAAACTCAAAGTTCTGTTCTAGATTGCTCTTACCAACCTGTCTTTCACTGCCTCTATCAGATCTAACCTAAATCCAATTACAGAATTTAAGCTTAGTGTAAAAAGATGCTGTTTACAATTCCCAGTCATTATTACACCAACTCTAAACATGCTTGCTTAGCTTTTGATTTTGCACCCTCTTTCTTACCCACATTAAATCACTTGCTGAATTTTGTCACTTTCTATAAAAGCACATCTCTGATTTATCTACATCCTTAATGGGTTACTCCAAGCACCATGACCACTTCAGTGCTCTAAATCGGTTATTGTGCTTGGACTCTGTATGTACAGCATTTCAGTAAGAAAGTAGATATTGCAATGTCAGAGAAACTGAGCATAGACAAAAATAGCTACCGGGTGTTCAAAAGCACATGGACAGGCCCAGTTTTTTTCTTCTTACTTATAAAGCCTTTGAAAGCCAACAAATAGTTTGTACTTACGGTAACTTAAGAAATCAGATTTCACAAAGCATTTGGAATCCCCGCTGCAAGTCATAGACACTTCCTCACATGTGTCACCATTTGTGTTAGTGCACTGGAGGCAAGTTGAGCTATAAACTAAAAGATTAAGGTAAGATGTGAGCTATTTACCTTTACAGGCATTTCTAAAAATGTATAGAAGGGACAGACTGAGCACTATAACCACTTTACATTTATCTTTAAAAATGTGTAATTACATAAATTATAATCCATTTAATCTTTGTGACTGCAGTTGAGCAATTGGGTTTTGAAATATCTATTCTAAGGGGCTATAATGGGGAAACAGGAGCTGTAGTGACGTGGTAGGGGATGCAGTTGGAGAAGAAAGGCTGTAGTGGGCCATGGCGGTTGAATTTAGGGAATAGAGACAGGGTCCCTGAGTGGGACACTGAGATATCATAATAGATTGTAAATTGTAGGCTACATAGCAAAATATTTGGCTTACAAGGAGGTATGTTGTTATTGGTGCTATAGCTGATACATTGTAGAAAGAGCTGAAGCTGCCCTGCTATTGAGTATGGTGTTTAGGATGTTAAAGGAACACTCTAGTGTCTGGAATACAAACATGTATTCCTGACACTATAGTTGCAAGAGCACATTTTAGGTCCCCAGCTGTTATGCTACTTGGGTGATTTGGATTGGAACTCAACTGCAGCTTGTAAAACTCCCTAATTACATTAGTGAAGATACCGAGAAACTTTGAAGTATCAATACTGTAGCTTTAAGAAAAAAGAGAATTGCTGGTAACTTGATTCAAACAAAGTTTTAATAAGGTTTAAACTTAAATGAATTGCATTTAGGCAATAATCCAAAAGAAGTAATCAACAACACAAAGTTCATTAATAAGTATTTCCTCAGAGATGCATTAAGTAACATTCTTTGGTTAATAAGAATAATCTTCAATAGTAACATTAAGCAAGTAGTTGAGAATATTTGCAAAGCAAGAATAGTTCATAGTTATTAAGCATGATGGGAGTTGTCCTCCATATAATTAGTAGCTTGAAGCACTGAGTGTATTTGCAAAGCAAGAAACAGTTCATAGTAAATAAGCATGTTGGGTGTTGGCCTCCATATAATTAGTAGCTTGAAGTAGTGAAGATTTGAGTAAGCAAGCATTAGTTCATTATTAAATGATATTGTAGACAAATAGCTGTAAGTTATACTTAAGGTTAATATGAGTAGTCCTCCAATAGCCCAGAGATAAAGTCCAATTGTAATGTAAGTGAGTTTCTGTTCTCCAGTAATCCTCTATGGCATAAAGTATAATTGTCTTAGCCAGATGGCTAGGACGCCTTCAGAGCTTGTAGAGCCGGCGTGCACACTCGGAAGTAGGACCCACATTGTCAGAGCCTGTGGAACGGTAAGTCTGGCGGAAGTAGCTCCCAGTATCACCAAGCACCCTCTCTCTGGCGCGGTCTCCCTAAATACCGTCAGAGCCGCGTCAGATGGGGGCGTGGTCCGGCTTCGCCCAGCGGAGTGCCGAACCCGGAAGTGTTACCGCATGACACCAGCCTCCCTCTGCCTCCATGGCTGAAATCATTAAATTTAATGATCCCAGCCAATCCAATGCTTTCCAATGGGAAAGCATTGGGAAGCTATTGCACATAAGTGGCAAAATGCAGTGCTGTGCATTTAGAGAGGGCACTGTTGAAATAATTTTTGGGAGGCCCGCCAATTGCAAAGATGGAAAAAAACGGTAGATCCCCATCTGTTGTTCAACTGACACAGTGTTTTGCCAGCTGGGGATCTACCATTTGCCCATCCTTGCAGGGTTCTACTTCGCACGGAGCAGCGTTTGTATGTTTGAATGTAAGTTTTTGTATATAGTATCTGTGTGTGAATGTAGGAATGTATTCGTGTGCAGTGTTATGTTGTGTGTTTTTATGTGCTGTTGCCATTTGAAAGCAGTGGTTTCTTGTGTGTAATGTTTGCCTTTTAAAGTAGGGGTGTATGTGTGAAGTGTTAGAGTTTGAATGCAGAGATGTATACACAGACACACTTACAGTTACACAGGTACAGACATGCAGATACACAGGCACACTCTGACAATATACAGATGTACAGATACACACACTGACACACATGCAGATCAGTGTTAGTTTTGTTAAATAAATTTTAGTCAAGTTTTAGTCGACTACATTTTTTTAGATTTAGTCAACTAAAACTAAAACAATTCAGATGACTAAAATACTGACTAAAACGAAATAGAATTTTGCCGCCAAAATCAACACTGATGCAGTTACACAGAAGTACACTAACACCATAGAAATATACAGACACACCGAAACACAAATACACAGACAGACACTGACACACATACAGACGCACACAATTACACAAATGCAGATGCACAGATACATGTATACACATATACACATCCGGATACAGACACACATACATACAGATACACAGGTGCAGACATGCAGATACAAAGACACAGACTGACATGCATGCAGACAAATGCAGATACACAGACACAAATGCAGATACATAGACACGCATGCAGATACACACACACACAGACACTGAAACACATATAGATACACAAAATGACACAAATAAAACATTGGCACACATACAGACACACATTGACACACAGATATACATATACACACAGATAAAATGCACAAAGATCACATAGTTTTAGCCACCCCCCATACCATTTTAATGCAGGAGGGTGGCTTCTCTGTGGTCCAGTGGCATCTGGCTGGGTGTGATGGGAGGCTGTTACAGTCTCTCTACAGTCTGTCTCCCTCCTATCTCTCGCGTGGTAACTTGGTATGCTGGAAGTAAATTACTTATACTCACTTCCTCCTAGCATCGCAGCATTACACACTGCAAGGGCCCGGTCAGCACCTGACTGGGCCTCTGATAAGAGATGTCCAATGATGGGCCCAAGGGCATACCTAGAGCATTTTGTAACCGAGGCGGATCCTATATTTTATACCCGACAACTTTAAAATGTAAAAACACCCACAAATGTTTTTATGTTTTTAATGTATTTAGCACTGAGCAGTGTTTTTATATTTTTTTAATGTTTTTACCACTGAGCAGTGTTAGTGTGTTTGAACGTAAGCATGTTTTTGTATGGAGTATGAGTGAGTGAATGTAGAGGTGTGTGTGTTTGTATGTAGTGTTGGCATTTGAATTCATTCGTGTATTTGTGTATAGTGTAGCTTTTGAATGCAGTGGTGTATTTATATATAATGGTGGTGTTTTAATACAGAGGTGTGTTTGTCTGTAGTGTTGACATTTGAATGCAGTGGTTTGTTTGCAGGTAATGTTGACGTTAGAATCCAGGGGTGTATATCTGTGTAGTGTTGAAGAGATGCTGAGATGTATGCACATATACACAAAACACACAGATACATACACAGACACACACAGATACAGACACACATGCAGCTTCATAGATACAAACACACAAACATACAGACACATACACATACATAGAGATACACATACACACACTGATATGCACACACATACAAACACAGACACACATGCAGCTACATGGACTTACATAGACACAAACACTCACACACATACACAGACATACACAGACATATATACACACACACACACACACACATCACATGCATCTACATAGACACAAACAGATACACATAAATACTCTAAAGACATGTCTAAAAAAGATTTTTGATACTAAATTTATCAAGAGAAACTCTGTTTCTTATACTCTGAGAGACCTAACTGAGTTATACTCAGTAGACAGGTCCACACTCTCTGTCACCATACCCCTTCCACAATAGACAACACTGCTTTAAGGAATACCCATAATCCTTAATAGAACACAAGGGCTAGCCTTTGTTTATGTATGTGGACTGTTTGTGGTTTTTGATAAAAAAAGATCTTACCTGGTAGAGCTAGAAACAGACATAGAATCACTGCTAAAGAGGTCATTTTCATAACCGTGTTATATAATAACTTAATCAGTATGGTTCAGAAATGGAAATTAGGCGACTTAACCGGAAAAGGCAAAACTCCAATCAAATTCCAGTCGGCTGGAATACAAAGAGTAGAACAAAACGGTTGCAACTAATTCTGTATTATATACAAATCATTAAATAATAAAGAGAGGCTTCAGTTTAAACATATTCCTACAAACTTGCTCCTCCCATCCTCTACCTCTTATTCTTTATAATTTCTGTTTTCTAGTTC